CTCCGCCCCTTCGTCAGGAAGTACGTCCCCGTCTCCGCCCGCGTCCTCATGGTCGGCTGCGGCAACGCTGGTCCGTTCCTCTTCCCTCCTCCTTTCCCCTTTTCCCCTGTCCTATAACCCATTCATTCGTCACCTCAAGAAATCAAGAACATGTAGCCAAAGAACCACGTCTCGCTCAAGATCATAATTTTGTGGGCCTCTTTTAGCGTTTTCCTCATAGGTTCGGACTTTTGGTTGCTTTGAGATAGGATTCTTGATGTTTCTTCTTATAGACTTGCATGCCTTGGGATCGATGTTGAACAGTTAGTGCTGAGCTATGAATTCCTGTTGGGATTGATGGAATATTCGTGAACTTATTTGTCCTTGGTCTTACATGAACTTTTTTGCTTGTAGGTGGCAATTTCCAGCATGACATGTAAACTTGATCTCATTTCTTGTTTTTTTTTCCTTCCAAAAAAGTGATATTTTAGTTACACCCCTTAGTACTCTTGGCTGGTATAAGGTGTTTGATCAATAGGTTTTTTTAGTTAGGAGGACTTCAAACTTATGGGGAAGGAAATAAGAAGATATCTTTTTAAAGCTTAGTATGTTATTTAGATTCGAGCTGCTATATTGCTTATTCATGATGGTTGAACTAATTGCTGCCAAATAACCATGAGGCTCTTTTTGGCAGCCAAATCAAAGCTAAAAACCTTAGCTTCTCAAAATCTCTTCTGGATCCATCATGTTTCCTATATACTCAAATAAATCTATAGTCCAACTTTGATTTCTGGAATATAATTCTTTTCACCTGAATGGAACAATTAGAATGCAAGGAGACATGGATTGAATACATCATATATATGTATGGTCGCTGGGTCCCTAATTTAGTTCTTGTTGGAACTTAGAAACTTTGTTGCTACCCTATTTTAAGCAAATTAGTCAACCTATATATGTATATTTGGTGCATATGATGAGGTTTCATTTATTCATGACGTAGATTGGATATGCATCCAAATCTAACAAGGTTTCATAGTTATCGAGTGGTTGAAGGTAGGGTACAATGGTGAAATTTAGGAGATTAGAATTGAATGGTATTTGACATTTAAAGTGGATGAGAAAGGGTAGATTGTCAATTGTTTCAGATGTCTTTTTCTTACAAAGCAAAGTACAAATATCTTAACTGCTGCATATAATTATGAAAATTCTCATGTGAAAATCACCACTACTAGATGTAGCATTCTATACATTTGGAGAGACAAACTTTGCATGTGATCCACCATGTTTGCATCCTTGTTGTTGCTTAGATCTACCTGCTTTCTATGTTTATTCAATGAATAATTTCTTTATGTCTCACTTGACAAATTAAGATAATTTCATTGCTTGTTTATCTTTGATACTTACTATGGATTACTATTGCTGTCAAGTTGATTTGGTTTATCGAACTGATCTCACAGTTTTGTCGGAGGATATGGTGAAGGATGGTTACATAGACATCATGAACATTGACATTTCATCAATTGTGATAGACATGATGAGAACAAAATATGTGCATATTCCACAACTACGATGTATCCTAATTGTAGTAATTAATATTCATTATTTTGAGTATGGCAGCAACTAATTTTAAATAAGCAGTGGGAACTACTTTTGACATCCTTATGATCAATAGACATGCAAATGGATGTAAGGGACATGAGCTTTTTTGATGATGAATCATTTGACTGTGTTTTTGATAAAGGTACTGAACTACCTTTTAAATCATATATAATTGCAAGTTAGATTTAAATAAATTACACAAATTTTCTTTTTAATGGTTGTTGTTTCAGTCACTCATCGCAATATTGATTTTGTTTAGGGACTTTGGATTCTTTAATGGTAAGTGCTCTATAGTAATTTTGTTTATCAAAACATCAAGGAGCAGTTATGCTTTAGCTTAACTGTAATTTTGTTTGGATCTTAGTGTGGCATGGATGCTCAACTCAGTGCTTCTCAGATGCTAGAAGAAGTGAACAGGTTTTGGTCTCTAGCAGTTGTCTCCTTTTTCTGCAGTCATCTAAAATGTCAAGTATATGTTCAAGGTTATGCTTGTTTATTTATATTCTTTGACATTTCTTATTTCCTTGAAGTTAGGCTTCTCAGACCTGGAGGGATCTATATGTTGGTAAATACCTCTTCTTGAGTAAATCTTGCGATGTTAGTCCAATGAATGTTGTGTGATTCCATCATATCACATGTCTGAAAGAATTTTCTAATCTTGGCAGATAACTTATGGTGATCCATCTGTTCGCATTCCTCATTTGAACCAACCAGGATGCAATTGGAAGATTATTCTGTATATTATACGTAAGTGTGGATGTCTTCTTCTGATGTTTTGTGTTTGCATTATTCTTTCTGCTTTTTCAATTATACCATCAGACAAGTGATCAGTCATGTCTGGCTTCTGGTTATGCATGTAGTTTGGTTTGTTAATAGGGCTATGAAATGGAATAATTCACTAGTTCTTCCCTCGGGATTGGGATAATTGAATGATCAAATTTTCATTTAAGGATATCTTTTGATCCTTGTTGTGTTATTACTTGTAGAATTTTTAAAGAATCTTGTGAGCTACAGAACATTTGACATTGAATTTCAGAAATTTTAATGTTTCATATGAACTTTCTCTAGTATTAGAATTTTTAAATATATGGCTTCTGTCTGAGGATGTGGAACATTCATTTTTTTTATTTATTTAGAGCAGAAAATGTTTTAGTTAAATTTAAAAGTTTTGGTTTTTTTAATCAAAAATTTATTGTTAGCTTTATAGATCGATTATAATGGAAATATATAGTAAATATCCTAAACCACTTTGCTTAGACCTAGTTAATATGAAAATCAAGGTTCGTCGTACCGCGACGTCCCATTCGGTACGGGCGGTATGTATCGGTGGGGATTGATACAAGTAATGCATTGATATGTCCTCATATACTATTTATCGATATGGCTCAGTACAGCTTGGTATATATCATACCGAAAGTTGATCGGTACATCGGTATGGACCGGTAAGATGAACCATGATGAAAATTGTGTTATCTTTGAATATATGACTCTGGTAAATTCATATGTGCCAAGGTCCTCACATACCAAATGCATCATGTTTAAGAACTTTAATATATATTTTTTTGATCTATTTTTTACAGCAAAAATTGTTCATTTTACTATTTGAATTTTATAATTAAATTGTGTTAAGAAATACTTACACGTAGTAGTTTGAGGTGGAATATAGATTGTATCCATTCACCTGCATTTCCAGAAGTGATGTCTATCAGATAGTATATGGACATGTACTAATTACTTTGTGTGTTGATAGTTAATTTTGTAGAGAACACCAGACTCTTTTAGCTTCACCATAGTAGTAGCACTCATGAGCTCAGTACTTTTTTTCGTTGTGGTGCAGTTTCACTTTCACCTTATATACATGAAATTTACCTCCGGTATCAGAGTGAGTTTTTTGTTGTAGGAAGTGAGATGCCCATGCCTACATATTTTTGGTTATTGAAATTGCTTGCATGGCTATCTGAATGGCTAATGTATGGTCTGTGTTTTATATATTCGTAGAGTTCTTAACTGCTTCAAGTATCCTGCACTTCACCATATGATCTTTAGTGATGCATACATTTGTTTTCGGATTTCAACATATTCCATATTGTAATTGCACTTCATGTTTTAAGTTGTTTCTACTCTGATTAACGTTGAAAAGTGAAAACATGTTGAACTGTGAGAACTCATTTTACTTAATGAAACAGCACACCGGTAAAGAACTTCTTTTGCTCATATACTAAGATTTGTCATATGCATCAGCATAGACTAACTACCCAAATTCAAGATTCAGGTGCTTTTAGTTGACATTTTTCTGAACATTAGGTAGCGAAAATTGCATGCAAGGATTTGTGCCAAAACTTCATCATTATTGCTTATGCCGTCACTGCCCTTTTTCAGCCAGGCCAGGATTCCAAAGCCCCGGAGGGGATAGTCGACCAAGGTCAATCATGGAACCTGTCCCACTTACTGAGAGCGGCCAGCTTCCGGCTGGTTTTGTTCTCGAAGATCCAGACTCGCACTACATATATGTGTGTAAGAAGATGCATTAAAGAGTTGATGCCTCACTACTGCCTTGATATTGTTTTGAGATGCTCAACTTTACTTGTAGCTAGCTATATTCCCAAACTGCTGCTGTTGAGAAAAACAAGGCAACAATCTCGGTGATAGTGATCTCTGCCTCTGCAGTGTTGCTCTTCTTACTTCTTAGAAAGGAAAGGTAGGCCTTGTTTATGTTGCCACTTGTATCAAAAGCTTTGCAAGGACTACAGGCCAAAATGTAAAGGCTAGGCAAGTGAGATGCATCTGTCATTTTGCCACCATCATATTGATAGAACACTGTCATGCATGTTCTTTTACCATTTGGTAAGAAGGCTTGAACGGTTTTATTTGGCAAGTGAAAATGAGGTTGAATCTCAATCTTATATTGGTCTGGCTAATGTATCGGAATGGGGTATGATACTGATATATGGGTATAATTCGATATTTACCCGATAAAATAATAAGATAATGTCAGATTATATGGTCTAATATGATCGATAAATACTACGTGGTAGATCGATATTCTGTTTTCATGGCTTCAAAGTTTAGTATCATTATGCTTCCATTTTCCATGATGATTACCAAACTGGTGTCCCCATTAACTTAAAATCTCGTGTGAAAATTTGATTCATCTCAGTGTTCGAGTCATAGAAATGAGTGATCAGAGATCAAAGTTATTCCTCTCTTGCTTTTGAGATGATGAGAGAGAATTGAGATCACTTTGGTGAACAGTTATTCCTCTCTAAATATGTGGCTGAATTCAGTAAATGAATTATTTGCAGTTATCGCAAGCTTTACTCCGCGCTTATATATATATATATATCTTTCGGGGGGTAGAAAAGAAAAAGAATATAATAATATATACGGAAAATAAAAAAGAAGCAGGTCATTAATTGCGTCCTATTCGTTGATTGATCAGCCGGCAAAAGGGCGAAAGGCCCCAATCAGCAGCCCTCGGATCTCCCCAGCAGGCTCTCATCCTCCCCCTTCCGCTCGCTCCTAGCCCTCCCCCACCCCCTTCTTCCTCCTCCGCAGCCGTCGGATCCCCTCCCCTTCCCTCCCACCATCCCTTTCTCGAACACAATTAGGACGTGTTCGTTGGTACGGCCTTCCCTCGTACTTGTTCCTCTTTTTCGTCCTCCTCCCCCGCCGCCGCCACCGCCGTCGCTGCCCGATCCTCTCAACGATGATGAGCAGTGGCGAGCTGCAGATCAAGGTGGCCCAGGCGGTGCACGTGCTCAACCACGATTGCGAGTCCTGCAACCGGGTGGCCGCCAACCAGTGGCTAGTCCAGTTCCAGCAGTCCGACGCCGCCTGGGAGGTCGCCACCGCGCTCCTGACCTCCTCCGACTACCGTCTCCGCATCGCCCCCCTCGACTTCGAGGTCGAGTTTTTCGCCGCCCAGATCCTCCGGCGCAAGGTAACCGCATCGTCTGAACCGCGCCTTTTCCTCCGACCGAGAGCGCGCTCCTGATGTCGGTGTCTTTGTGGCTCAGATCCAGAACGAAGGGTACTATCTGCAGCTGGCGGCGAAGGACGCTTTGCTCAATGCCCTTCTCCGCGCTGCGCAACGCTTCTGCTTAGGCCCCCCACAGGTACAATATCTATATGGTGCACTCTTCTGCCTCTTATTCGTCCATAGAGAACAAGACGTGCTTTCCACTGCTGAATCTGTCTTCTTGCACCTCAACCCTCGCAGAAAGGCCATCATTTTCGGTGTATCTAACTGTTTGTTAATTAGCTTCTGAGTTAGGGCTTTGGCTTCGGACATTCAAATCTGAATGACCGGATATTGAAGTTTTATGGATCCATAATATGGTCTTTAGCTCGAAATATGTATTATATATATATGTGTATTATATATATATATATGTATATATGTATTATCTATATATATATATATATATATATATATATATATATATATATATATATATATATATTCTCATAGGTTCTTGTGCCGTGGTATTGACTAAGCATTTGTTCTGCCTGCTCTTAATGATTGCAGCTCCTAACCCAGATATGTCTTGCACTCTCGGCACTCATCCTACGAGCTGTCGAGCACAGGAAGCCCATCGAGCAGCTCTTCTCCAGCTTGCACCAACTGCAGAGCCAAGAGAATGGGAACCTTGCGGTGCTGGAGATGCTAACTGTCCTACCTGAAGAAGTAGCAGAGGACCAAAACAGGGACCACAACATCGATGCAGCAAGAAGAAGCCAGTTCACACGAGAGGTTTGATGAGTTCTGTCAGTAAGTTGGAGGTTGCAGCAATTTACATCATGGCTTCATGTTGTCGATGTGGTCTCGTTTGTGGTGCAGCTCCTTTCTCATACTCCCACCGTTCTTCAGTTCCTTCTGCTTCAATCGGAACAAAGACTTGATGATGAAATTAAGCATCGTGAGACAAATAGGAGGATCTTGAGATGCTTGCTAAGCTGGGTAAGTGTGCATGCTTTTTCGTGGTTCTTTTTTTGTTGCAACGAAGGTTCTTGTGGAATGACCGTGAATGAAGTTAAAATTGGGGCAATCACTGGTTTAAGCTACAAGAGACCTTAGTAAACCCTAGTTTTAAATATTGTAATCAGAACTCTACTCAGCTTCACATTGAAAATAGCAGATTTGGAAGAGTTATTTAAGATGGAAGCCCTTAAGATGGCTGAGTATGGACATACAAAAGGATATATTCTGATTTGCTCTTGTGCTATAGCTTCTCATTTTGTCACGAAGCCACTTAATCGCAGTATGAATTTGCTTTTATGATTTGAGCTGCTTGTGTTTTACGGTTGAGGTCATTATTTTTTTGTGCTCTTCCTTATTTGAATCCATATATTCATCAATGTGTGCCTCATCTGTCTGTTCATTCATTCAAGACCTGATTTGTCTTTGTATATTTTCTTGTCAAAGAGGCAACCTAAGCTTCTTCATGTTGTTATCTTGCAAATTGTTGCTCTAACAAGGATTTTATCGACAGGTGCGCGTGGGATGCTTTTCAGAGATTCCACCTCCTTCCCTACCTACACACCCCCTTCTTAGCTTTGTCTTTAACTCGTTGCAGGTAAAATTACTTAATTACTTGTTTCTGTATTATACTACTATCGTACTTATTCACTCAATTCTTTATTTGTATGTTTGGACAAAGGTTTCATCCTCATTTGATGTGGCTGTTGAAGTTCTCATTGAGCTTGTTAGTCGGTATGAGGTATGTTTTTCGACATTTTATGATTCCATTATTAAATAATATTTTTTTTTCTTAATTGTAGATTATATACATTTACTAGTAGTAGTTCTAACGTTATTTCTTAATGTATTTGTTATGTCATAGACCAATTCATATATATACTTCTGCTCTATGAATTTAATGATGAAACATTATCATCGGGAAGGAAGTCCATAAATGGCATTGTCAGTGTAGCATAGTAAATTATTTCATAATCAAATTAGATTGACAAATTAATGATATTATGTTATTTTAGATTGTAAGCATGTTTGTACACCATGCCATCCTATAAGAAATTTCATCAGGATCATTTTTTAATAATTTAAACAAAATTTCATGCAAATATAGAACAACAATGCATACCTTGTTTGCAGTAAATAGTATTTACTGGTGAGCTTGTGATTTGGCAAAAGCTCTGGATATCCTTGTATTCAAGAGAATATATAATACAGACATGATATCAATTCATTTTTGGTTCTTATTCTCGTTTGTTTTCATTGTTATTTGTACAACAATGCAATTTGAACTGTCCTGATAGTCCTCAAGAACTGTCCACCTTGTGAATGTTTACTAGAGGGGAAATTGCTGGGATTGTTGGTATCATGTAGGATACACATGGCTAGCTTTTACAGTAGGAACTTCACACGTGACTTGTGATCTCATTTCCAAATTGGTAATTTTATGTGCTCCTTTATCTGAGTGTTAGTGTCTGACCTGACTTAACTTTTTACAACTTGTGTTCACTGTCACAGGGTTTACCACAGGTTCTATTAACTAAAATACAGTATCTGAAAGAAGTACTTCTCATACCAGCTCTGGTTAACAAAGATGAAAAAATAATTGGTGGCCTTGCATGCTTGATGTCAGAAATCGGACAAGCTGTAAGTCTTCTCTTTGTAAATTGTAATGGTATGTCAAATATTGTTATTATGTCACTTCACCCTCAAGGTTTGTTTGATTGGGAGTAATGGTAGTATCTGAACTTGGATTTTGCCAGGACTGGCGACAGAGAATTGTGGATTGGCCTTATTATTATTTTCTTCTTGAAATAGAAAATTGACCATAAAAAATGAAAATGGATTGGAATAAATTACAACCAGTTGGACATTGGCCAGGTCTTGTCAATTGGCTGAATCGAACTGGAAATTTGTTAGAATGAAGAAGACTTGATTGGAACTGACAATAATCAGCTGGAACCATCCTATTCTTGCTGGAGCCAGCTACAATAACCAGATCAGCTGGTAATTGCCATGAAACATTGGAACCATTTGGATTTATAAGATCTAGCTAAGGCTTAGTTGGAATCATTGGTTTCTAAATTCAACCAATATATAAAAAAGGTGGGTTTTGGAACAGAACATGCTAGTTTGTCGTGCATGGGAATTGGATGATCTGACAAACATGGTTGACATTATTTACTTTCTCATTGGTCCATAAGGAGTTGTAATTAATTCTATTGTATCAGCCACCATACATATGTTTGGTGATATTTGTTTTATGTATCAGGCACCAGCTCTGATTGCACAAGCAAGCACTGAAGCATTGGCTCTTGCAGATGCTCTTTTGAGGTGACATCATAATCTATTACTCAGCTGTTTGCAATGTTATCTCTGTACTCCTTATATGAAATCGGCTTGCCTGCCCAAGATCTTGAATGTGTCTCTTAACTGCAGGTGCTATACTTTGTTTCCTTTGACCAGCAATCCTCCATGCTAATACTTTCTTATTTGCAACAGTTGTGTCAGTTTTCCTAGTGATGATTGGGAGATTGCAGATTCGACCTTGCAATTCTGGTAATTACATAACATTAATCTCTGTGTTATCTGCACAAGATGTGCATTACAGCAATTCTATTACTAGTTCTATTAGCTTTGATCGATAATGATTTATGGTTCTGTCATTCTGTACTGTTCTGTTATTATAAAGCATCCATATCAATAAAAGAAATTCTGAGTACAATAATCTGAATTAACCCACAACTCAAGAGATTTTATGTTATGTAAATAGGCGGAAGAAAAGAACAGACGTATGAATGGGAGGGGGGAATATGGCAGAGGTGAGAGCTAGTGAGAGGGAGGGGGGAATGGGAGGGTGAGCGGTGGATTTGTGTTGTGTGTCTCCTTGTGTACTCTTTGTTATTTTTTTCCAGATCAATACATAGAATGGTGCTATATGCACCTAAAGGAACAAAGTGGTAACTGACATGCCTTGGATTCGTCATGCAGGTTCAAGAATTAGCATGGGTATGGCATATGTTACTTTAATCCTTGTCATTGACCTTTTTTTGGGATGGTCATACCCTTATATGTAGACCTTGAAAAGCTAACCTAATTGAAACTAGTTCAATTTTTTTTCCTTTAATATGCTCGACAAGATTGTCTTATCAGTGTACCTCAAATCATATATGATTTGGTCAAATAAGTTCCAACTCTGAAGTCAAATATATCATAAGTTTTAACTAAAGTTGTACCTCAAACATATAAAATATTGATGTACTTTATTTTTTGAAAAATAAAATTGGTCAAGTTGAACAAATTTAAACACTTATAAGGCATGGATCTTGTCCCAAAGACCCAATTCCTGATCAACAATATAGTGTTTTTTAATATTATGGTAATGAGAACACTTAAGAATTCATTACTGGGTTTAATTTTATTGATTTCAGTTAGAAAGCACTCAATGGACTATCTAGTAGTTCAATTCAAGGATTTTAATTTCGAATAATATCGCCTGTACCGGGTGATACATACCGGTCCATTAGCAGACTGGTACGCGGAACGCCTGCTATCAGGCGGTACCATCGATTGGGGCTGCTTCTACCCCGTTACCACCCTAAATTGGCTGGAGACGGTTGATTTCGACCGTCGTCGCCCGCTACCGGGTGGTATTAGCCGAGGGAGAGCCGAGGGAGAAGAAAGAAGAGGGGGAAGAAGAGAGAGAAGAGAAGGGAGAACCTGGAGATCCAACGTCGCTCTCCCGTGATGATCCCGATCCGTTGCCGCCCTCCCTTGTCGGACGTTGTAGATGAGATGTCGCATTCTCCTTATCTGAGGCAACGAGGCCTCGGCATCGTTGATGACTTCTCATTCGCGCGGGGAGAAGAAGCCTTGGTGACGTAGCGAGGAGAAGAAACGTCGCCTCGACGAGGCGGCGACGTTGCCTTGTCACCCTTTTTTGCGCGGGGAGAAGGAAAACTCAGTTTCTTCTCCCCATGCGGGCAGAAAAAGGCGGCGACGCTGCCTTTTTTTTTACTTATATATATATATATATATATATATATATATATACATATTTATATATATATATATATATATATATATATATATACATATTTATATATATATATATATAACATCCCGGTGTACTGCTTGGTACTTTGTACCATACCGTATGGAGCTGCGCTCGAAACTCCGGTACGGTATGAAATTACGATCCTTTGTTCAATCTTCTCCTTGATCAGTATTTTGGTTCCCAAACTTGCTAAAGTGTGCTTTTCTTTGTTTTTGATAATTGAATTCCCAGCTGCATTCAATTCTTGTGATCATGTGACAAAGACACTAGCTTAAGCACCTAGGCAGTCACCAAGGTGATAAAATTTATACAAAAGGTTTAAAGAGGATCCTTTTCTGTTTTATTTTGAATTACATTTAAGGATTCGTAGGAAGATAAAAATTAAGTCCTCTTAGCTCAAACAATAGAGCAAACATCTTTTGCATGGTCATAAATATGAGTTAAAATTTTGAGGCTGCAAATGTGTATATCTTCAAATTCGTCAGAATCCAGATGTACAGGGTTCATCATAAAGATTAGTTTTAAAGGTGAATATTTTGTAGGATTAAGTGAAATATTGTCAAAGTAATTGTCTCATCACCAATACATTTATAAGGTACAAGCTAATTATTACTTACAAGCTGCTATTAGAATAAAAAGAAGATGGCTTATTGCTCAGCAACTTTTTGCTTGGGAATTTAACTTCTGTGAAACATTTACAAAAAGAAGAAAATATCATTCCTCGGATTTTGGAGAACTGATCATTGAGGGAGGGTTTGTTGGTATAAGTCAATGTTGTATAGTTACGACTTCTGTCATTTTCTAATTATCTTTGCTTATCAAATATACTTGAAAGAACAGAGGTCCATGCTTAGATTATACAGGTCTTAAAGGTATTTACAATAAACTAGTAGATGTATCAGCTGGATGAGGTTCATGCAGACTCCCTTTTGCTGAAAGGGATGGTCTGTAGACCTTGGGTTTGAGATGGTCTGTAGACTTTAATGTATCATCTCGTCATACCTTTATCCTGTAGTGGGACCACCATCCTTATGGATATGGCTTGTTGGTAGGATGCATTATAATGAATTTTGCAGTACAAGATAATTATTGACTGATAAGGTTCAGCGATCATTTATGTCTCTTTTTATTCCAGGTGCAGTTTAGCAAATTATCTTATGGGTCTGGATTTTCAAAACACAAATAGGAAAATTGTGGGAGAATTGTTTGTCCCTGTATTCTCAGCATTACTGGATGCCCTTTTACTGCGTGTTCAGGTGGTAGCCTGTTTTCTTGTCCTGCTTTTTCTATACTCCTGCACATATTGAAATATAGTTCTGGTCAACTTTTACATTCCCTTGTATTTCTTTTTTACTTATTTGTTTTTTTTGGAATGGTATTGTTGCCTATGCTTTATGGTGCTCTGAATAATAATGAGATAAAAATAGCATTACGCTTTGCCAATGTTCTTGTACCACATAATGCATGTTATTTTTGTCTTTGAATTTTCCCTGGTATTGAAACTATATAGATATATTAGCATAGGATGCAACCATAGACTGTAGTGCCATGTAATTTTTTTTGTCCGTCATGATCGATAATGGATTGGTGGCCTTCATTGTACTTGGGTAGCTTGACTGAAGTGAATATCTTCTAGCAACACGGTATTAGTGGTGATTAAAGTAAGTGAGCTCCCATATTAACTCCTTATGAGATATATAATGCTGAAATCATTGACTGATGATATGTATTATGTACATATTGAAAGAAACATTTGAATTTGCAGATGTTGTTGTCAATATTGGACCAATATTTAACTTAAGTGACAATGATACAATTCGCACAAAAACACAAGAAGAAATTCTTGGCCTGGTACAGGTCTCAGTAATCTACTAGATTGGTGTGGTACTGTCAAGGTTCCAAATAACGATCCAAATCCCTGGGCAGACCATTATATGTCCAGGTATGCAGGCATGTTGAAACATGGTACACCTCATACTGATTGTTATGGACCAAAGAGAAAGAGGGGGAGAAGAAGGGATGAGGAGGAAGAAGAAGAGGAGAAGAAGGATGGGGAACTTAGAAGGAAAACATGGAAGAGGAGGAAGAAGAAGAGGAGAAGAAGGATGGGGAACTTAGAAGGAAAACATGGAAGAGGAGGAAGATATGGCAGTGTGTATAGGCAGGAGGAGGGGGCGGCACGCTGGGGGGAGGAGATGGCGGGCAATGCGTTGGTGATCATGCAGTTTTGGCATGGGCGTGGAGGCAGAGGGAAAGAGAAGGAGAAAGGGAGAAAGACAAAGGAAGACAGAGATAGAAGAGAATAAAAGTAGATAAGACAGCTGCACAACTATCATAAATTAAATAAGAAGATATTGATACTGGTTGGTACCCTCTGGTATTGGTCTCTTTAATTCCCAGTAAGCTTGGTATGGTGTGCTTACCGGGTGGTACAACTTATACTGGGGATGGGGTAACTGAGTGATTTTGCATGGTCCATGTCCTAATCCCTCATCGAACAGGTAAAACCTAGATCATATTGGGTGTATGTCTAGTTTTTTTAAACTTTGTTGCCAGTACACTGAACGCTATAGACGTTTTACCACCCATTGAAAAGAAAAATAATATGAAGATGAATGGTACTGTATTGGTATCAAGTTATATGTTTCAGTGCCAGTACTTGATCAGATCGAAAATGCAGTTCCATACTAGTTTATTCAATATTTGAAACCTTATGTGGTAATGCTTCATCTTTGTATGTTGTGTTATTGATTTATTGTCGTCATTGAACCAATGAGTTGAATAGTCCCTCTCACACAGCTTGTAAATTGTAATTTCTTCCTTTCCTATATTCTGCCCAGGATTAGGAGAATTCTAGTAGTTCCTAACTGCATGAGTTCAAGCAAGTCTCTTGCCTGGTTCCTCTAGCAGGAAACTTCGCACGAGCTCGGAGGATTACTGTCAAGTTGAATTGTCTGAAGCAAGGTTTTGCTAAGTCTTTCAGAGAGTGAACTTTTGAGCAACCTGATATCCAGAGGAAACTTAAATAATGGGTGGTAGTGTGTTTCATCTCACAATATTAGTGGTGATGCTATACATAGACTAGAATTTAGGGCAACTATGAAATATGTCAAGGAGTTGGATGATTGAATCATGCCTTGATTTACCATTGTGAAAATGCAAGTAGCATAAGAATCTACATACATCTGAAAACTGCAATTGAGATATGAAGTTGGATGATCTCACTTGGAGGCAGCGTTTGCTGTACTGCCTGAAGCAGTATGGTACGGGCAGCACATACCGGTCCGGGCGTGGGCCGATACGCGGACCACCCCGTTTTGGGTGGTCGAGTTATATAAATAAAAAATTCAAAGAAATGGTGGGGCCCTGTCCAAATCAGCATTAAAAAAAAAAAGAACAGATTAGGGCTCGTGAACATGAGCCCTCTTCTCGTGTAAGATGCCGCTGCCTTGCCGTTGCTGCTTTGACGCTTCCTCGCCGCTACCACTGCTGTCGCTGCTCTTTTCCTCTTCTTTCTTCTTCTTCCTCCGCTTCTTCCTCTTCTTCCTTCCTTCCTTCCTCCTTATTCCTCCACCGCCCCTTCCGCCGAAATGGGTTTGGTACCCGAAAAGGCAAACCTTGCTTGGAGGTACCTCAAGTAAAATGCCTATTAGAGTTTCAGTTATAGTTATTGATGTTTTCAACTTATAAAGGCTGGTTAACCATCCTTACATTTTTACATTCCTTTTCAACCGTCTTCCAAAAAGCAGGACAAAAATTGCATCATGCAAGTTATTTGTACTTGCACTTTGTAGATGTTTCTTCCAAGTTAGCATCATGTAGACATATGTTTTCTTAATGATCTACTGTTACTTGAATGAGATTTTTTTTCTGATAATGTGCAACTGAACAAGAAAAACAGTTTAATGTGGTAAACTGAACGTCCCCATCAAAAGTTAAAAACATTTGATTATTCATGACAATCTCTCTACTTGCCGTTGGACTTTGCTAATTTTTATCTATGATAATTTAAATTGATAATTACTTTGAATACGTTAGCATTTCCTGGGTAGGTGCATGACCTTCAAGCCAAGGCAAATGGTTTAGACACACTTGGAAGTCTGAACAATTCTATTCATATTAGTTTAACAATGCTGCAGTACAATATTGAGTATTTAGTTTTAGCTGCAGTAAAGAAACTGATGAGGTAGTTTAACAATTTTCTTTTGAATGTTGTTGATTGTGAATTTGTTACCTTTTCACAAGGTTGTTGATGCCGGATCCGATGGCAGTGATGGACTTGACATACCAGATGGATTGACACACTTTAGATCGAACCTAGAGGAGCTTTTTGTTGATATCTGTCAACTTCTGGGGTCTGGTGCATTTGTTCAGAAGGTACTATTTATTTATTACCTTAGACTGTTTGATTGGTTACATGCGTTCTAGTCATAGTGGTTACTTTTTCATGTAATGTTATTATGCAATTATGTTTTTTTTGTGAGACTAATTGGAATTGCTAGATAATTTGGCTACGACTTTCTTAATTTTGATTTTTTTCCTTACATTTCATTATGATTTAGAACACTACAGAAGGTAATGATTGTAATTTCATAGGGAGGCAGGCACGGGGTAGGCGTGATGGGTGTCAAGGGCTTGCTACTCAGTTAGGACAACTATAAGTTTTTCTTTTATATGGACTTGACCAGACTGCCTGAAATGCATTGGATCCATGTCTTAGTTCATGCCTGGACTAGTAAATACGGTCGGCACACGTTGGATCCGTGTATTGGTTCATGCCTGGACTAGTAAATATGGTCGGCACAGGATGGACCGAGTGAAGAAGGTATCAGATAATTAAGGTACTACAAATGGTTAACTAAAAATCTGAGTTTATTAAATTTAATAAAGTTAACAACACAAACAAAGTATGTTTCACTGCACATTGTCTGAACCAAGGTTCTCGATTTCGCTCGGACTGGTACATAGATCGCTGGTGGTCCAGTCCAACCCATTAGAACAATAGAAAGACTTAAATCTTCAGTTACGACTTGTGAGCTTGAGTCACTTTTCTCTCGGGGAGCATGACCAGCCGCTGCCATCCATTGTTGTTTGCCGCCATCTACCTCCTCAGTACACTTCCTCATCCTCTTATCCTTCTTCTCCTCTTCCTCCACCACTCATCTTCTTCCTTCTTCCTTGCTCTTCCTCCACCACCTCCTCTTCTTCCTTCCTCTTCCTCTACCTCCTCGTTATCTTCCTTACTCCTCCACTGCCTTCTCGTTTCTTCCTCATCCTTCCCCCTCCCTTTTCTTTCTCCTTCCTCCTCTTCCTTCACTGCACCTTCGTCTTCTCCTCCTCCTCCGTCTTGGAAACTGGTCCTGCCGAGGGCCCATACGGATCTGGTATGTGATGCAACATTCCTTCTTTGAAACATAAATGAGTTTCACCAGAGCTGACTTCATTATTTCTAAAATGAACCGTGCCATTTCCACTAGCCTCTCCATTTAAATCCCCCCAACTTCAGCTTTGAATTTGTGCCCATCTGATCCATCTATATAATCTTTGAATTTTTGCAGCTGCTACGAAGGAGATCTGAGCAGCTCTGATACGCACTGACAAATGAAGCTCTTCTCTCCTTTTTTTGTTCTTTTCATGATTGACTCTGTCAGCATGCTGAAATCATGGTTTGCTCGTTTCAACATTGCTTACTAAATTCTCTGACCAGCCAGTGTAGTTTATAAATATTGAGATTTAATTCCTTGAAGGTAGTCATGTGTATTTATTATATTAGTTCAGCTTATTCCTGTATCTAAAATATCACTTTTTTGTGCCTTTTGGGGTCCTATTTTTGATGTTTGAGTCCACAATTTATTTTGTTGTAGCTTTTATCTGTTGGATGGAATTCTGCGGATTCATTTATCCCTTGGGTAGAGTTGGAAGCTAGAATGTTCGCCCTAAATATGGTATGCAATCTTTTTTAATCAAATGGTTTCACTCAATGATCAACAAATATGATGTCGGTTTTTGACTTTTTGTTATGTATATTGAATAGATATACCTTGCTTGCTGCCTCTATCCATGGCCTTTATTCTAGCAACAGCTTTCTATGTTGTTCAAGTTTAGTTCTTGTCAGCATGCATTATTGTGATAAAATTGATTTGAACAGTAGAGCAGAACTGCAAACTTTGCAATAACAGTCTTTAAAAATCTATTTTCTCACTAGCTTAAGTGATTATGATAATTTGCTAACTATTTTTTGAGGGTGTTCATGTGTGACCTTGAAGTATGTGCTATCATGAGTCACATGAAAGTGATTCTTCAGGAATTCAACGGGCCACAAAACAATTTTCATACCTCTACAATCCTGAGGCATGTATCATGTGATATTAGTTTTATACAAAGATGGCTTGTTCTTGATGACTATGATGGTCATGTTGCAAATATGCTGGCTCTATAAGTGAATGGACCACTTATATGGACCTCTTTTGCCTTTCTGACCGGTGACTATTGTCATGATATGTAAGATGTTGTAAATGTTTGATATGAATCCTTTGTCATAAACAGTTCCATCATAAGTGGTACTCATATTAGACCTTGTTTACCAACTTTCTCTATAGTAGAAAGAATAAACGACACAATTATGTTCATTGTATTTATTCAAACAATTTTAGGTGAACAATGGAATATGCTTAAGTAGGCGATCTTAGATAAACAATTCTCTTGGGGATGCCTTTAATTTGATTTGTCTGATTTAAATGATGAGAAGTAGATATATTTAATTCTTAACCACTATTTAAATTATGTAACAGTGTGTGTCATTGTCATTTGGAAGCCATGTTAGAAAAATTTCACCATCATGTGTCAGGTTGCAGAAACAGTTATGCAATGTTCATATCCATTTGACTTCTCGGTGGTTATGCGGCTGGTGACAGCTCTATCGACTAGATCACCTGATGAGCGCAGTGGCTTCTTGGTCTTTGTAAGATCAATCTTGCGATGCTTCTCTAAAATTCTGCTTTGAATCTTTGCCACAGTCTCTGTATTCTCATGTATTCAGTGAATAACAAATGCTCAATATTTGAGACGACAACTGACATATCTGGTACCTAGGTAGGTGTACAAATCTGTAGCCGAGGTGGTTGGCTCGTATTCCAAGTGGATATGTTCTCCCCCAAGTAATATTAGACCATTGTTGTGAGTATCTTGCACAATAACCATTTGGGAATAAAACCATGTGAGATTGGAGATTTTCTTCTAGTTTCTTTTGAATCACATGATTACATTCATCTTCTGTGCTAATAATTCTTTTCAGTTTATTTTGTGCCACGGGGATCACAGAATCAATATCTTCAAATGCTTGCTCCTCAGCATTGCGTAAACTTTGTGAAGATGCTTTAGCAATAATTCATGACCCACAGAATCTAGAAATCCTGATCTGGATAGGAGAGGTAATAGTCCTGCTTATCCCACTGAAATCATTACTGCATAAGGCATGGTGGGTATTGTGAAACCTGCATAGACCAATTGAGTGTTTTAAATTGGAGCAAATGGTTATGGTGTTGCTTTTTCTTATATGTTCTCAGGTAACTATAGATATATACTTCTGTCCACATAACTAGTTATGTGCAACGAGATTTTGCAAAGCATTGATTTTGAAAATTTTGTGTAGATAGTAATGTAATGCTTCTTGTTCTTCACCTTATTGTGCAAAAGTGAAAAATGAAAAGTTTTTACTGAGGTATTATTCAATTCTAAGCGCTTCTAAATACCTTCTGCAATTCTCTCTCCACATAAGCAAACACATTAGGTTAAGAATACCTTACCCTACTGTAGAACTCGCCCATTAGGCTGATATGGTGGATCCAACTAGTTGATGGTATCTCATGAACTTGTAATAAGAATTCATGAAGCAAATGGGATCATTGAATTGGAAAGGTATGCTTTGTTTAGAATTTTCTAATTCTATCATTTCTCTTCCTGTCGTTTTTCTACTTTTCAAATTTAATGAACAGAACTGATGCTGATCTTCCAGAACTTGAATTCAATGTTCACAATTGACTTCAGTTTGAAATCTTTAGTAGTGAAGGATTTGCTGATTTGAAGAAGTCTTTATTTGATGAAAAGATCAATGTGTTACGTCCAAATTATAAGAACCTGTGAGTGGATCCAAAATGTCCATTGTTTATTTGGATTTTTGCGAACATTTTCATTTAGAGTTAGAACTTAACAATCTATAATGAAAGAAGCAAACAAAGAATCAGACTATTGAGAGAAATTCATGTTCAGATTTGTCTAAAGAAGCATATATTAAAAATTTTGAAATTGACTGATTATGATCTCTGTTGACCAATTTAAATATTTAATTTGATTAAAATCTACACAAGCCGAAATCAATGAGCTTGATTTTTGGACAAGTGATCTGGAGACCAGATCAAGTTGAATCAGATGGCCCAATCAGTTCTGGGCAATCCTGACCCTTTTTCTTTTGGTGCCTAAGTTGTATGCACAGGCTGTTGAGAAGTAAGAGCTGACTCATGAATGCACGAGTACCCTCAGACCTGTTTTCTTAGTGCCAAACCTACTGCTGACAGAGCCCATTCAACAATGTGCTCTATTTGACGCTGGTGATGACTCCAAAATATGTTATCGCTAATTCTGCTGTTTGTTTTACTTCATTACCATTTTGACTTTTTTGGACAAATAAAACTCTGTTCATGAAAAAAAAGGACAAATATTGACCTCGTTATGCCAATCGAAAATGACTTCTAGTGCAAAAACCCTTTGGAATACCAAGCATCATATTACCTTTGCATTTTGGAAAAATTGCACATATAATCATATATCTTTTTGGAACAGCTATAATTAATTCTTTAGTTTACAATTTATTGACTTTTTTAAAAAATATTATATTAAATGACATACAAGATACTCACACATGGACTTGAATCTGAAGCCCATCACTTGTGCAACAATGCACTAACCAATCGGATGTGAGAATTATTATTACCAATTGGTGCAAAAGACTAACTTGATGGGTTATTAAGTTCATTACAGCTACCTTAGCGGACCATGAAGATTTTGTTTTCTTTTCTTGTTTCTATATTACGTATGTCTCTTGTCAAAATCATGTCAGATGAACATTTGATATTGCAAATATGGTAGTTATAATTTATGCATATTGAATCTTGGGAAAGCAACAAATGCTTACCAGATGATTAGTTTAATCTAATCACTTGTGAACTTGGCCAAGATCTAGCACTGCTATAATTAATTTACATGCATCTTCTCATGTGAGAGGAAAGCATACTCAGTTCTTGGTTGGTTAACCTTTATATCCAACCACCTAACTACTTGTGAAATAATAAAAGAAGAGGTTGAAAGTGATTAAGAGAATGGGAAGTCAATTGACTCCTTGTTTGCCTGATCTGATGATGCATGATATTCTCTGTTACTTTTTTTTGCCTTTACAAGTATCATCATGCTGCAATACATTGCTGATATTGAACTGGATTAAAGCTAAAAATCAATCTCAGGATTTTCTGTAACCTATTTTCTTCACCAGAAAAAGGAAATTAGATCTTACATTTTGGTATAATTCTGTTGGTTGTGTAGAGGTGGAATAATTTGATGACCATTACACAAAGAAACTATTTTCAGATTGTGCACTTAATATATAAGGTGGAATTTTGGTGCATAGCAGTTCAGCTATTATACATAGCTTATCTGAATGATAAATTAAATATTTAAGGCAGTTTCATGTTTAAAATAGCAGAAATCAGTAAAATTAGATTTTGTTCATGCAATGAGTTGAAATATAAAGTGTATCTTTTTAGACTCATAATTATGCCCTTAGGAAGGGTCCTTTTGATGGTAGTTTTGAAAGGACATACTGGACATTTCAACTTTTGCAGTACAAATTTAATATTTTCAATGTTTGCTGAAACACAAATCTAATTAATATTATAGAAATTAAGAAAATGAGAGCAAGTAATTTTACCTGACATAATTGACTAAGGAAATTTGTCGCCATCATCTGAACATTTTTCATGGAGATAAGTTCAGCTATATACTATATAGTAAATCCATGGAGGAGTATGATTTCACCACTTGCTCTGAACCGAGTCTTAACCTAAAGACTGATGCCACAATCTTGACATATTTTAGCAAATTTTTTAATCGGCAACGAAATCTAGAACGCTAGTGCAGTGGTGGAACAATCATCCAAGTGCACCTGCAAATATTTAGCGGTGTGAATGTGAGTGTATTGGTTGGGGTGGGGAAGGATTCGGTCTTTTTAAAGTGTTGCCATTATAGTTCAATGAGAGTTTAGTATGCTTATGAACATTTATATTTCTCTATTATTTTTTCAATTGTAATGTACTCCATTTTTCTATAGGGCTTGGAGAAATGGAATCTTACATTAGAAGAAGAGGAGGAAGTTGTTACTGCAATAACTCTTACTCTTAATTCAATTCCCAACAAGGAGCTGAAGAAGAATTCGTTATCGAGGTTGCTCTCCCCTAGCTATGGAGCCATTGAGAAACTGGTATGTTTGCCCTTGCTTAAAGAATGACTTACTCGTTCCAGGCATTTCTCCACCCTTTATTTTGTTAAAAGTTTTACATCCATAATTAGGTTCCAAATATTCATTTGTTGTATTTTAGATTAACTTGTTTGTGATGCTACTTTGGTGCAGTATTTCAATTTATCAGAACTTGGTTTACACGTATGTATAATTTTTATAGTTGTGTGCAATCACATGTTTACTTTTTTTTGGAAATTGTTCATCTTCATTTTGATTTGGTTTGACTTGAGTGAAGATTGATACTTCCAATCTTGAAAAAAAAAACCAATAGAGCTAGTGCTAAAAGACTTCTATAATACAAAGTCTACTTGAATATAGGAATATTAAAACATGTTGTCTGCAAAAACATTTTCAATTTGACTGGTAAATATGTATCTAGTAGTTTTTCTAAAAATATTTGCTGAGAAATGAAAATTTTCCACTAGCAAAGATGACTTGTATGTTCATAAATAAGAATGAGCTATATAGAGGTTTTAGTTTGTATAAGTTCTAAGATACTCATTGGACAAGTGCTAATATAGAACAATGAGTATTCCTTTTATATGTGCATATGAATATATGCATGATATATTCAATTATATCATGCATGATCGCATTGCACCACTACATGTGGAATCAGATAAGTAAATTTCCACTTTCTTACATAAACCTAAAGCAAGATATATGAAAGAAACATCCACAGGACACTTGGCCAATCAATGTCTCAATGGAATATCTAAAGACTTATGCTAAGAGAAAGAAGGGTCTCAAGTGTAGTGTTGTCATGGGGCACTTAGGTACTCGCCTAGGCACTAGGGCAAGGTGAGGCCCGAAAATGTTTTGGGTGAGGTGTTTTGATTGGGCACTGCCTAGGTGCATGCCTGGGATCAGACACTCACTAGGCCCAAAAATGCCACTTGGGCTTGAGTTGAAACTAAACTAATTGGTTCAGTTCAACCAAGCCAAATACCAAGTGCCCTCGTGAGCCCTAATCCCACCATCAACAGCATCGCCTCTCATGGATGCAACCCCGTGCACCCTTCCCGCTGGCGATGCCTCCCCATCCCGTCACATGCAAAGACTCCCCTCCCCCCAAACACCCCATTGTGTGTGATAGCACCCCTCGGTGCCACATCCTATTCATGATAGGATCTTCTCTCTGCCTTTGGACTCAACTAGACTCCATTGCTCTTCTCCTCTCCTCTCAGTCACCTCTACACATTGCTGGTATACCTTGCTCTTTCTCTTGTTCTTGTCATTAATTCTTATTAATAATAGTTGAGTCTTATTAATAATAGGTAACTTTGTTAATATAGTAATGTTAACTTTTGTTAGTAACAATTTATAAATTGTGTTGATTAGTAGGCTTTCATTGCAATTTTAGGATCTTGAATCATGACAATCATAGTTAATGCCAAGGTATGCAATACCGTACCGTACCGGTGTTTCGAGGTTGGTTCGGTACGGTACGGTATCGGCATATCGAGCGGTACACTAAGGCTTACCGAACGATTTTAAATATTTTTTTTCTTTTACTGTAGCACTGATACAGTGTAACACTGTAGCATTGTAGCACAGTCCATCCGGTAGCGGGCGATCCGCATACCGGTATGCCGTCGGACCGGTACATACTGCCCGTACCGGGATGTACCATTCGAAATTACATATCATGGTTAATGCCTCTCATTTTATTTTATTTTAATGATTGCTTTTATCATTATTTTTAATGCTTTTATTAGTTATATATATTTTTTATAATATTATATTCCCAAGCGCCTTACTTTGCGTAGCTTCAAGCGCTTTGGAACCTTAGTGCTTAGTGACTTTGACGACACCAGTCAAGTGAAATCTGGTGTCTAGCAGATCTTCCAGGAAAGCCACACTATATATGACAAAAAAAATGAAGCAAGGTTCCCACATACCTGGTAACAATCACCAGATTGTTCTTTCTATGCACCATTATGCCCCACTGGGGATGAAAAGAGAATTGATATAGACTAAATATTAGAAAATTCATATCCATATCCACTTTTCATCAATGTATGTGAATCTAAATAATTTCAGAACTAGCTTCAGCATTCATATTTCTTGAAAAAGAAGACAGATACAATATGTAATTTTCACAATTTTGTGTATTGGGACTGTACCGGTCAGGAGTGGTCCATACAGATGTACCGAGTGTTGGTGTGTCGATACATACCGAGTTTCAAAAAAATAGAAATACTAAAAGAACAAAAAAAACTGCTTGGTGCATAACTTGTACCATCATATACCACATGGTATTATTCCTGTATTGACTGATATTGGCCCTATACTGGGTGTACTAAGTGTACCGCCCACTTTACCTTGTTCCATATATTGGTAAATGTCATCCGTACTGAACCTTGCATATACGATATACTACAGACGTCATTTTGGATATAAGATGGATTTTAATGTAACTATAACATGAATCAAGTATATTATCATCAATGTTTAAGATATTAACTCAAATCTTTATAATTGTTTTTCTTTGTATAAAAGCATCAAAGCTAATATGAAAGTTTTGTTGAAAAAAAGTAATAACTCTCTTACTTAAGTTAATATGGATAGATCTTACACTTTGAGATGTACTCAGATATCCAATTACTGATAGAAATCAACCCATCTTAGATAGTAAAATTTGGATGCAAATACAAAATTTGATGGACAATAGTTGTATAACATTATCCAGCTCCACATGAATTGGATGGATGGGCTGACCCAAATTTAACCTTGATGCACATCATCATCTTTAATTTAATGTTTTAATTATTTTTCTTTTGCAATCACAATGACCTTAGAAAGCTAGCTTACCTTTATGATAGATGGGTTGACCATTGAGAATGTTTTCTTGCTTATGAGACTTGTGCTGTATTTTATTGAAATAAATAAACCTATGCATGAGCTCATTTGAGAATTAATGTAATAAAAGCTCATTTGAGACTTCATATGGAATCTCTTTCTTGAACAGTTTGTGGAGTCAATTAGTTTTGCATATGCCATATGAGGGTTGAACCTACATTTAAACAAATACTGATTGAAATGTTTGGTTTAAGTATTCACTGACAAGTTATTAGATGAATAAATGTAGGATAATCATGCTAAGTTGGGATGGCAAAAAATATTAGATTCTTAATCATCATTTCTAACAAGTTTTAATTTGCAGTTGTCCCTAATAAGCCTTTTCATAATTGTAATCCTGCATAAGCTTCTCAATCTTGGCCTTATTCGTTTGAACCATAGAAGCAACCTCTCCAAATGCAGGTGGTAAGGCTTTGTATATTCGCATGTAGGGCAGGTCCTTGTGCATCTACCTTCCCCAGGCCCTGCCTCATGTGGTGGGTTGCCACATAGTCGATTCTGGACTGCGGACAATGACTTGTTGTTGCTATGGATTTGTTTTAGAGCAAAATTGTCAAGGTCTAGCAAGGTTCTTTTGAAGAAGCCAGTGGACTTTGTATATTGCTTTCCCTTATAAAAGGTTGAGGAGAGTTGCAGAAAGCTAGGGTGGTTCATCTTGCGTTTAAATTCATTAAACAAATCCTTGAATCTATCTAGTCTTGTTTTTATCTGAGTTTGACAACCCCTACTCATTTGAGCACCTGCAGCTTTGACAAGTTTGTTATATTTCTTTATCAGATAGATGCAGATCGTGAAGAACCTCTGAAGCGAAACCCTTCTGCTTACACACAGGCTTTAAGCTCTGCTGTCAGGGGGTTATACAGGTTGGTTTCAATAAAGTTGTTATACTGTATGTTGCCTACATAGAGATATCCAAGCTATTTGCTGTTTCTTAAAGGCAAGGATATCCTACAAATTTAGGTGTATTATTGACACAGACATGCTTAGAAGTCGTTGCCTCAAGACATTATCATATTCTTTGCCATATGAGATGCCAGCTAAAATTTGGTCTGATCACCAAGTTTATCATGGGGGCAACATCAATTTGACTAAGAACAATTAAGCTTTTACAGTTTACTAATAAGTTCTCAAGTCATTACCTTCTGATTTTACTTGTTGCAAACTTCTTATGCTCTTTCATTTCTTTCTCTGCTAATACTGTTGCTACACAATTTGACTTCACGGTTGGCAAATACTTAGTTCTATTATCTGCATACTTTTTGTAAAATTGTTTATTGGACTCATTTGGTATTGGTGTGTAGAAAAGCCTACGAAGCTTAATCTTACATTTTGTGCTTTGTTTATAATGTTTTCAGCATCCACTTAGACAAAACTAAGTCCATCTAACTCTTTTCAGGATTGGGTCTGTACTTCGCCATCTACTGGCTCCTCCCGCTGTCCATCTAGTGATTCCTCGCGCTGTTAATCATGTTGAGGATGACACAGTTTTGGTCCTTGAATTCTTTTGGCCACTTCTTGAGAAACTTTTTAGGTCATCTCACATGGAAAATGCTAGTCTATCTGCGGCAGCATGTCGGTCGCTTTCTGTAGCTGTGCATTCTTCAGGTACTTGTGTTGATTTCTCAAAAATGTTTAAGCAGAAGACTTTCAGATTGTCATGATATCCTGATAACATTTGCAGGAGAACATTTTCTGATATTGCTGCCTAAAGTTCTAGACTGCTTGTCTACGAATTTTTTATTATTCCAAAGTCATGAATGCTACATAAGAACAGGTGTGCATATATTTTCAACTTTTTTCCATTATTGAAAAAAAGCAAGAAATTTCAAATTCTTTTGGAGTATATCCATCCACAAGAGTTCTTTTGTAGTGAGAGTAACAAAAATCAACCACGTTCTGGTTGCAGGAGTTTGGTTCCTTCTCATATAATGAATATTTTAATTGGTATTTGATGTATGCATAATTTGCTTTTATGTTGTTTGCAGGAGTT